GCCAAATACAGGGCAATCTTAGAAGAAAACCTGTTGGAGTCTGCAGAAGACATGAGACCGGGGCGGAGGTTCCCCTTCCAGCAGGACAACGACCCGAAACATCCAGCCAGACCTACAATGGAATGGTTCCCATCAAAGCATCTTCATGTGTTAGAATGGCCCAGTCATAGTCCAGACCCAAATCCAATGGAGAATCTGTGGCCAGACCTGAAAATTGCTGTTCCCAGACGCTCTCCATCCAATCTGACAGCTTGAGGGATTCTGCAAAGAAGAACGGGCAGGACTGTCCCTCTCTAGATGTGCAAAGAGACATCCCCAAAAAGACTTGCAGCTGGAATGGCAGCCAAAGGGGGTCCTACAAAGTATTGACTCCGGGGGGCCGAATACAAATGCCGCCACACTTTTCACAGATTTATTGGTCACAAATGTTGGAATCCATTTCTCATTTTCCTTCCACTTCACAATTATGTGCCACTTTGTGTCGTCCATCACATCCAATCCTGATAGATACATTGTAACATGACAACATGGGGAGGGGGGATACATTGTAACATGGCAACATGGGGGGGGGGGGATACATTGTAACATGACAACATGGGGGGGATACATTGTAACATGACAACATGGGGGGGGGGAATACATTGTAACATGACAACATGGGGGGGGGAATACATTGTAACATGACAACATGGGGGGGGATACATTGTAACATGACAACATGGGGACATTTCAGGGGGGAGGGGATACATTGTAACATGACAACATGGGGGACATTTCAGGGGGGGGGGAATACATTGTAACATGACAACATGGGGGACATTTCAGGGGGGGGAATACATTGTAACATGACAACATGGGGGACATTTCGGGGGGGGATACATTGTAACATGACAACATGGGGGACATTTCGGGGGGGGATACATTGTAACATGACAACATGGGGGACATTTCGGGGGGGGGGATACATTGTAACATGACAACATGGGGGACATTTCAGGGGGGGAGGGGAATACATTGTAAGAACATATATTAATTTTTTTAGAAATATACATTTTTTATGATGCAATTCCCCCAGTCTGCGGGGGGGGGGGGGGGTGCACCCCCCAGTATGTAATAGCAGAGTTCATGGTGGATGATTACTCTGTAGATTCTGCTCTCTCTGGTGCATAGTTGCAGATTTCCAGGGTCAGTCTGGGTGTAGATATTTGTCCCTGGCCAAGGCCACAAAAAGAGGGCCGTACTGTGTCTATATGGATGTATCTCTCTGGCCGGGAGGGAGAGGTGCAGTATAGAGGTGCAGCCCGGACAAATCCAATGACAGGCTGACAGATGCTCCAGCTGTGCACAGGACATACCCAAGCAATAATGGCGTACAGCAGTGGTCCCCAAACAGTGGCCTGTGGGCCAGATGCAGCCTTTTACCCAGCCCTTGGGGAACTAGTCCTCCCACCGACACCTGCGACAGGGCACTAGTCCTCCCCCATTGACACCTGCGACAGGGTACTAGTCCTCCCATCGACAGCAACAACAGAGTACTAGTCCTCCCACCAACACCTGCGACGGGGCACTAGTCCTCCCATCAACAGCAACAACAGGGCACAAGTCCTCCCACCGACACCAACTGGGCACTAGTCCTCCCACCGACACCAACAACGGGGCACTAGTCCTCCCACCGACACCAATAATGGGGCACAAGTCCTCCCACCGACACCAACTGGGCACTAGTCCTCCCACCGACACCAACAACGGGGCACGAGTCCTCCCACCAACACCAACAACGGGGCACGAGTCCTCCCACTGACCACCAAGCTGAAAGACGTTTGCTCCTACCAATGTTGGAACATTTTCTGTGGCCCCACTGAGGTCTGAAGGACAGTAAACTGACCGTACTGAAAGAATACTGGGAGGGTCAACTACCAGATACTGGGGTCCCTGTGGTGCCCTATGGCCTGGAACTGCATGAAAGGATGGGGCAACTAGCTGGCCTCACAGCTGACCATCTCCAAGCAACCGAGGCCCAGCAAAACACATAGTATGACCGCAAGGCCCGCACCCGGGAGTTTGCCAAGAACAGGTCCTCATGATTGTCCCAAATCCACAGAACAAACTGCAATCCACATGGGAGGGACCCTTCCGAGTGGACTAGATGATCAGGGGAGGTGGCAGAAAACAGTGCATGTCAATATGATAATGAAGTACCATGACTGAAACCCCCCTTGTCATGGCCATCTGCCCGATACCCTCCGAGGAAGACGAAGAGGCCATGCCGGATCTCCTGGAAGCAGCGCACCAGCCACCTGACGTGCACCAGGTGCCCCTGGGCATGCAGCTGAACCTGGGACAACAAAGGGCCATGAATGCTGTTCTGGGCCAGCACAGTTCTGCTTTTTCTACCCGGCCTGGAAAACCCACCATCACCACGTGGAGACCCTGGGAACCTGGCCTATCCAACAAGCTCCATATCGTGTCCCCAAAGCCGAGAAGAACTGAATGAAATGCTGGATCTGAGAATTATTCAGCCCTCAGAGCCCCCGGGCCTCTCCTGTTCTTGTCCCCAAAAAAATGGCAGCATCCGCTTTTGTGTCAACAACTGATGCTTCAATGACCACATGGTTAGTGATGCCTACCCAATGCCCCATATCGGTGACCTGCTGGCTGGAGCCCGCTATGTCAAGCAAGGGCTACAGGCAAATCCCCTTATCTGCAGGTTGGGAGTGCTCCGCCTTCATCACGTTAGCGTTTCTCAACATGCCCCTGCCACCTTCAAGTGCCCAGGGAATCAGCTGCTGCAGGGTTGTCATGACTTTGCCTGCGCCTACCTTGATGACCTCACCATCTTCAGTGAAATCTGGGAAGACCACCTCCGGCACGTGGGCCTTGTCCGGGATCGAATTTCAGGGACCAACCTTACCATTCGACCAGGCAAGTGCCAGATAGGGATGGTGGAGGTGCAATATTTAGGACACCGGGTGGGGTGGGGGGGTAAACCGCACCCAGAACCAGCTAAAATAGAAGCCATTAGGTAATGGCCCATCCCACAGACTAAGAAACAGGTTATGGAGTTTCTGGGCACTGCTAATATCGCACATTTGTTCCCCATTTCAGCACGATTGTGAAGCCCCTGGCGGATCTCACTAAGAAGGCTATGCACTGGATGTTAACCTTGAACCCGGCCTGCCAGACTGCTTTTGACCTGCTGAAAGAGGCCCTTTCCCATGACACTGTCCTGGCCCAACTACCAGGGAAGGTTCCTTGTGCAGATACCTCCACTTATGGGCTGGGGGCCGTCCTCAGCCAGGTAAACGAGGAGGAGCATCCTGTGGCCTTTAGCAGGAATCCACTAGACCCCGAGATTGTGTATGCCACCATAGAGGAGTGACTGGCCATATAGTGTGGGTGTTTGAAGACACGTCAATTCTATATGTATAGCCGGGCATTCACCATCCTCTCAGACTATAACCCCTTCACCTGGCTGGATCGGGTCTCCGGGGATAATGGCCGCCTCTTACGATGGAGCCTGGCCTTACAACTTCACTATCAATACTGACGGGGAAGCCAGCACCACAGTGCAGATGGGCTGTCCCATCACCAATACCCCCAGTAAAGAAATGCAGTCTACAAGTGGATCTACAGGAACCTGTTGAGGTTCCCCTGGTGCACTTGTGGAATGGTGGGGGGGGGGGGGATTTGATGGGCAGGGGGTTGTCAGAGCTGGTCCCCCCATCTGCCCCTCACTCTCCCTTACCAGCAACCTGGCCCCCTGCTCAAGTGCCAGAAAGTCAGCCTCCTGCTGTGGGAATCCACATGCAGGCTCCCTCCTGGCACCCCCCTCCCTGTCTCCACGTGCACGGTCCTGCCCTCCCACGTTCCCTGTGCGGGTCTGAAGATGCGGGGCCCGTTGCCATGGTAACCCAACGCTAAGTCGTGTTACCATGGCAACCCACCCGGCTCTGTACTTAAGGCAGAGCAGGATCCCGGTCCCAAGTAGATCCCCTGGTTGCTGTGTGAGTGAGGTCTGAGCTGCGAGCCAGCCCTCCTCATTGATCCAATCCCCTCTCCTCACTGGCTCCCCTGCCTGCCAGTCTGCTGCTAGATCCCTCCCCTGTGTGGGGTAACTCTCCGCTGCCTGGAGCTCTTCTCTGCAGAAGAACCCTTTGCTGCCTGGATCTTTTCCCTATGCTGACTTAACCCTTTGCTGCCTGTGAGCCTGGCAGACTTAACCCTTTGCTGCCTGTGTGGATTGCCCATGTGGTGCCTGTAACCCTCCATGTCCAGCTCCCCACATCCAGTAAGTGGACTAACCTCGTGCTGCCCAAAAGACTGAGCCCAATTCTCCCCATGAACCCCAATTCCCACAGAACCTCCGCCCCTCCTGTTGAACCCGGTAGACTATCGGACCCCTGTTGTCCCATATTGCCTTCCAGAGAACTTTATTGTGTCTGGTGTTGATCTGTAGACTAATGGATCTATCTGTACCCAGAAAAACACCCCAATAAACGCCCGCACATCGGGTTCTGTGCAATCTGTCTCTGTGTCCGCTCTGCCCTCCTAGTACTTGACAATGGCAATATATTTGGGAAGAATATTTTTTAAAATATATATTTCTTCCATATGGGGGGGGGGGGGGGGGGCCCTAATCTGAATTTTAGTTCAGAAGTAAAAGTCACACACCTCAGTCACTTTGATCTTTATTGTAAACCATTCATGAGATCACAAAGAATCCAAAAACTTTTCTTGCTGACATTTTACAGATGAAAGATTCTGCTGATCTCATACAGAAGTCTCATCGGCCTTTACAAAAATATACTGAAGTCAGAAAAGAAACGGAATGTGACACCAGATACTCCTCTGTCCCTTCTACACCACCGAGATCACCTAGAAGACATTACTAAAAATACTTTACTTTCTATACAGAGGGGAGGTGCAGGCCCAGCTACAAGGGGGGGCCCCCCATACAGAGGTGGCACCAGCCTGGCTACGAGGGATGGCACTTTTTGAAACTACTTTTGTTTGGAGAAGAACTCTTTGCTTTTCTTGACGTCCGGTTTGATGGTGTCATTGCCAGGCTTCCATCCTGCTGGGCAGACTGGAATAGAAAAAAAAAAAATTATATATACAATTTATTTTATTATAGCAAATTTAGAAATGTACACAATTCAGAGACTAAGAAAAATCTAAAAAATTTCTGCAGAAAATTATAGATTTAAAAAAAAAAAAAAAAAAAAAAAAAAAAAAAAGGAGAAAGAATCAACACTTCAAGGCTACTGTGCATGTTCTGGGTCCTGCCCTGTTTAAGTTTTTTTTTTTTTTTTTATTTACTATCCACTTGCTGACCAACAGTAATTATACTACTGGCCAGCCACTTCTCCAGGCACCGCAACGCACCAGTCAGTGTCCCTGATCTCGGCTACAGACATGACAATTCTGTACTGGTGACCGTATGTTAAAAAAAAAAAAATAAACACAGTTGTGTTCAAAATAATATCCGTGTGTTGAAAAAAGTGAATAAAGCTGAAAATCCTTCTAATCCTTTTATTTCCATCCACACAAATGCATTGGGAACACGACACATTCTATTCCAAATCACAACATGAAGAAAAATACATCAAATTTGTGTCGTTCCTCTAAAAAAAAAAAAAAAAAAAAAAAAATGGAAGAAAAGTGAATATTAGACGGTTCAAAAAAAAAAATGGCCGTGTTTGTATTCTTCTTTACAAACTCAAACATTCACTATATAAACTGAGAAATGTTTGAAGATTTTGCTTTCCTTTGAATGACTTCATGAATATTTGGTTGTAGTCGCACTGTTTCTGAGAACTGCTGTACATCTGTGTTGCATGGAGTCCCCCAACTTCTGGCCCCTGTGATCAGGTATTCCAGCCCAGGATGATTGGACCACATTCCACAGTTCTTCTCTATTTCTTGGTTTGGCCTCAGAAACAGCATTTTTGATGTCACCCCACAAGTTTTCTATTGGATGAAGATTCGGGGATTGGGCTGGCCACTCCATAACGTCCATCTTGTTGGTCTGGAACCAAGATGTTGCCCGTTTACTGGTGTGTTTGGGGTCGTTGTCTTGTTGGAACCCCCATTTCAAGGGCATTTCCTCTTCAGCATAAGGCAGCATGACCTCTTCAAGTATTCTGATGGATTCAAACTGATCCATGATCCCTGGTATGCGATAAATAGGCCCAACACCGTAGTATGAGAAACATCCCCATATCATGATGCTTGCACCACCATGCTTCACGGTCTTCACAGTGTACTGTGGCTTGAATTCAGTGTTTGGGGGGTCGTCTGACAAACTGTCTCCGCCCACTAGACCCAAAAAGAACAATCTTAATTCCATCAGCCCACAAAATGTTGCCCCATTTCTCTTTAGGCCAGTCAATGTGCTCTTTGGCAGATTGTAACCTCTTCAGCACACGTCTTTTTCCCAACAGTGGGACTTTGCGGGGACTTCTTGCAGATAGCTTGGCTTCACATCGGGGTCTTCTAATTGTAACAGTCCTCACAGGGAACGTCACACCTTCTTTTCATCTTCCTGGAGCCGATTGTTGGCTGAGTCCTCACAGGGAACGTCACACCTTCTTTCATCTTCCTGGAGCTGATTGTTGGCTGAGTCCTCACAGGGAACGTCACACCTTCTTTCATCTTCCTGGAGCCGATTGTTGGCTGAGTCCTCACAGGGAACGTCACACCTTCTTTCATCTTCCTGGAGCTGATTGTTGGCTGAGTCCGCCCCATTTTGGCTATTCTTCTATCCATTCCAATGGTAGTTTTTTGCTTTCTTCCGTCTTTCAGGTTTTGGTTGCCATTTTAAAGCATTTGCCATCATTTTAGCTGAGCAGCCGATCATTTTCTGCACTTCTTTATATGTTTTCCCCTCTCCAATCAACTTTTTAATCAAGGCACGCTGTTCTTCTGAACAATGTCTGGAACGACCCATTTTCCTCAGAATTTCAGAGAGAAATGCACTGTAACCAGCATGTCCAACATTTGCTGCCTTCCTTCCTTAAATAAGGGCAATAATTGCCACCTGTTTATCAAAGAATGAATGACGTCACTAATAGAAACTCCACACGGCTATTATTGTGAACACACCCCTCAATGAGTGATTCAATGACGCAGAATCAGCAGCATGCATGTCATGACTGTCGGGTCTGTTGGATTTCTATGACTACTACACCTGCTAGGAAATTATCTGCCATGTAGAAATATTTCTACCAAAAACAGTGATTGATCCGGTTAGTGATGTCTGACGGCTATTATTTTCAACACAACTATATATAAAAAAAATTTGCTTTTTTCATTTAATTTTTTTTAAAGGGGGTTTTCATTTTCTAAAAAACATTGCCACACAAAATTACAACTTTAAAGTAAATAAAACAGTAAAAAAAAAAAAAAAAACACCACAAGTTATCTGTTGCTACAAAGTATTATACGGGTAAAGGATTTGCAGGGACCAGAGGCAGGAGGAAGATAGCGCTCAACTTTTTGGGTAAAAATTTTTGCTCCACCTTGGTGCTAATCTGCAAGACCCCTAGAAGGGCCCAATCACACACTTGTACCTTCTGTGGAACACGGGTCCTCAACATGCATCCAGGGGCAAAAAACAAAATCATGGACATGGTGTATTCCATTTAATTTATTGAAAATGCAGATCTGTCATGTGGTCAAACAAACAAAAAACCACTACATTCCCCCCTCCCCCACCCACTTCAGATCCATAGATTTAAGTGTTCCAGATTGGGACCTCCTTGGGGAGGATGCAGATAGGGCCCCACGCCAGGCGCTTTTCTCCATTTCAGAGTAAAATAAATATCAGTGACAATCTATGGGGTGGATTTACTGAAGACAAATAGATGGTGCACTTTGCAAAGCGTAGTGGAAGTTGTTTCAGAGCTTAGTAAATGAGGTAAACCGCTCTTTGGCCAAGACGACCCAAAAATCACATGCAAGGGAGAAACAAACCCCCCCCCAAACCCATAAAACACAACCCCCAAACCAAAACAAGCTGGAAGAAAAAAAAAAAAACAACAAAAAAAAAAAAAAAACTACAGCATTTTTGCTTGCGCAGGATTGGATGCTGGTAAATGAACAGAAGCTCCGCCGACTTCCAGCTCTGGAGTAGCTGCACTTGCAAAGTACACAGTCTGATTGCCGTTCATAAACCAGCCCCCATGCAGGCAGATTTTGCAGCCGGATACATAATACGTATTCGCTGTCGCTCACAATTACACATTTCTTCCTCTTAGAGGATTTGTTGACCATGCTACATTGTTGCTTCATCTCCGACCTCCAGACTCCGCCTCCAGCAGATTTCTGCGTTCTCCACATTGCTGTGCCAATAAAGCTCTCCGTTGTCAATGATTAGATATTTGCACTTTTAGAACCCGGCTTTATTGGGCCATTCACTGTTATCTCAGATCAGGATGATCTATAAACTATTAAATAATGTTAAGTATTTGAATCTTAGAGGGCCATGGTGTGCAAAATGTAGGTGGAGCCTGGCGGGCCAAGTCACCTCCCCGCCTACTTTTATATGGTAGACACTCCAACCACTATGACTTTCTAAAAATACTCCAGACTCTGCTCCTGCACATCTTAGATCTGGGAGTTACTACCCACCACGGGGTCTCTTCCACCTCCGCTGTGGTTCCCCCCACAGAATGCTTACAAAAGAAGAAGAAAAAAAAATAATCTGGCAAAGGATGGTGGCAGCCCCCAATATGGCCTTGCAGGTGAGGGACATTTGCAGTGCAGCAGGTTTTTCCATTAGCCATTTCAAGGCAGGAGAGGATCCCTACGTCAGCCTTTGTGCAGGACCAGGCACACTTCAGCCCGCCAGCTGTTGCTGAACTACAAGTCCCACCATGACTGAGTCAGGCTTTGTAGCTGCCAAAATCTTGCAATGCTTTATGGGACTTGAAATCCCTAAACAAAAGCTGGAGTAGGACACACTTATTTGTTCCCCCCCCTCCCCCACAGGACAGAGGAGGGGGGGGGGGGGGGAAGACAGACCGAGGAGGAGGAGGAGGAGGGGGGGGGGGGGGGGGGGGAAGACAGACCGAGGAGGAGGAGGAGGAGGAGGGGGGGGGGGGGGGAAGACAGACGAGGAGGAGGAGGAGGAGGAGGGGGGGGGGGGGAAAGACAGACCGAGGAGGAGGAGGAGGAGGGGGGGGGGGGGAAGACAGACCGAGGAGGAGCGGGGGGGGGGGGGGGGAGAGAAGACAGACCGAGGAGGAGCGGGGGGGGGAGAAGAGACAGACCGAGGAGGAGGAGGGGGGGGGGGGGGGGGTGGGGTGGAAGAGACAGACCGAGGAGGAGGAAGGGGGGGGGGGGGGGGGGGGGGGAGAGGACAGACCGAGGAGGAGGAGGGGGGGGGGGGGGGGGGGAGACAGACAGACCGAGGAGGAGGAGGGGGGGGGGGGGGGGGAAGAGACAGAGACGAGGAGGAGGAGGAGGGGGGGGGGGGGGGGAAGAGACAGACCGAGGAGGAGGAGGGGGGGGGGGGGGGGAAGAGACAGACCGAGGAGGAGGAGGGGGGGGGGGGGGGGAAGAGACAGACCGAGGAGAGGAGGGGGGGGGGGGGGGGGGAAGAGACAGAGAGAGGAGGAGGAGGGGGGGGGGGGGGTGAAGAGACAGACCGAGGAGGAGGAGGGGGGGGGGGGGGGGGGGGAAGAGACAGACCGAGCAGGAGGGAGGGGGGGGGGGGGGGGGAAGAGACAGACCGAGCAGGAGGAGGGGGGGGGGGGGGAGAGAGACAGACCGAGGAGGAGGGGGGGGGGGCGGAAGAGACAGACCGAGGAGGAGGGGGGGGACAGAGAAGGGGGGGGGGTGGAAAAAAAAAAAGATAATAAAAATGTTGGCTCATAAATTTCTGCCACTATTGTCAGCAGGGGCAGAGCACTGGAGTCGATCATTTACATTGTTGCCATCTCTCTGGACTACAGAACCCCTCCATCCGGTCATGAAGGTGACCAGAGAGGGAGGGAACATGTAGTCTTGTATCTATGGAGGAGCAGCAATGTCCCCCCTAGTACACCAGGGAGTGATGATTGGCCCCCTAGGACAGGCTGGGTGCTCCCGGCAGGATCAGCGGGTGATGAAGGAATGTCCCCCAACCTAGGACTGGTAGGAATTCTTGGTGAAGATCGGCCGCCTGCCGGGTTTGTCCTCCTGAACCATCAGTGGTACCATTTGTGGAGCGGGCAGTGGCTGGAGGAAGGAGATTTTGGATTGGGCAGAAGAGGCTCCGTATTGGTCGGAGTGGATTGGTTCATTGATCAATTAAATCTTTAAGAGTCACCCTCTGGACGGAGGTCGCTGTTACCGCCTTAGATTGGCTCTCTCGGGTTTCGGTGGCCACGGTGCCACTCACAGGGAGATCTGGAAAATCAGAGATTCAGCATCTCAGAGATTCATGGCCAGTCTGTGCCGCTCTCACCGTGTAACCTGCAACACACCCAGCCAGGTGCTGGCACTGCGCCCATTCCAGTCATGGCCGCCAGCAGGAACTGTCCCAACGGCCCGACCTGCTCAGTCATGGCTGAAAGTCACCCAGCAGGTTCTCTAACTCCAGGCTTGGCGAAGCCCAAATTAAACACATTCTTAGTCAGTGAAACATTCCAGATGCATCAAAACAAATGTGTGCAAAGTAACCGGCCAAAGCTTGAATAGAAAAGCCTGTCCAACCTCCCTGCTGCAGTGTGTGGAAGCAGAGGTCCCTCTGCAGAGGTCCAATCCACCTCCTGCTGAGTCAGAACTAGAACTCTGATTGGAGAGCTCCAGGACTTCTGTAGAGAGACCACAAAGATCTGATCTCCGCATCACGCCGACAGGGGACAGGATTCCAACTGCGGCTTTGAAAACAAAACACCTTTCATTTTGATGCACTTGGAATGTATTTTTTTTTTTGGTAAATCAGCCAAATATTGAATTAAAATTAGTTACAAAGTATACATGGGGGAAAAAAAAAAAATAAAAAATTTGATCACACACACTATTGCCAAAAGTATTGGTCCCTGCCCTCCATATCATGTGATTCAGGTGTTCCAATCCCCTCCATATCATGTGATTCAGGTGTTCCAATCCCCTCCATATCATGTGATTCAGGTGTTCCAATCCCCTCCATGGACACAGGTGTATACAATCAAGCCCCTAGGCATGCAGACTGCTTCTACAAACATTGGTGAAAGAATGGGTCGCTCTCAGGAGCTCAGTGACTCCAAGCGTGGTCCCGTGATAGGTGGCCACCTGGGCAATAAGTCCATCCGTGACATTTCCTGGCTACTAAATATTCCACGCTCAACTGTTAGTGGGATTATAACAAAGTGGAAGCCACTGGGAACAACAGCCTCTCAGCCACCAAGTGGTAGGCCACGTCACATGACAGGGCGGGGTCAGCTCATGCTGAAGCGCACAGTGCGCAGAAGTCGCCAACTGTCTGCAGTGTCAATAGCTAAAGACCTCCAAACTTGGTGTGGCCTTCAGATGAGAGCCCAACAGTGCGTAGAGAGCTTCATGGAATGGGTTTCCATGGCCGAGCAGCTGCATCCAAGCCTTCCATCACCAAGTGCAATGCAAAGCGTCGGATGCCGTGGTGTAAAGCACACTGCCACTGGACTCTAGAGCAGTGAAGCCGCGTTCTCTGGAGGGACCAATCACGCTTCTCTGTCTGGCAATCCGATGGATATGTCTGGGTTTGGAGGTTGCCAGGAGAACGGTACTTGCCTGACTGCATTGTGCCAAGTGTAAAGTTTTTGGTAGAGGGGGAATTATGGTGTGGGGGTGTTCCTCAGGGGGTGGGCTTGGCCTCCTAGTTCCAGTGAAGGGAACTCTTAAGGGGACATTTTGGACAATTTCATGCTCCCAACTTTGTGGGAGGAGTTTGGGGATGACCCCTTCCCGTTCCAACATGACTGCTCCCCAGTGCACAAAGCAAGGTCCATAAAGACATGGAGGAGCCAGTTTGGGGTGGAGGAACTTGACTGTCCTGCACAGAGTCCTGACCTCAACCCCATAGAACACCTTTGGGATGAATTAGAGCGGAGACTGTGAGCCAGGCCTCCTCCCCGACATCAGTGCCTGACCTGACAAATGTGCTTCTGGAAGAATGGTCCAACCTTCCCATAGACACCCTCCTAAACCTTGTGGACGGCCTTCCCAGAAGAGTTGAAGCTGTTATAGCTGCAAAGGGCGGGGCCGACTCAATATTGAACCCTACGGGCTAAGACTGGGGGGCCATTAAAGGTCATGTGCATGGAAAGGGCGGGGCCAACTCAATATTGAACCCTATGGACTAAGACTGGGGGGCCATTAAAGGTCATGTGTGTGGAAAGGGTGGGGCCAACTCAATATTGAACCCTATGGACTAAGACTGGGAGGCCATTAAAGGTCATGTGTGTGGAAAGGGCGGGGCCAACTCAATATTGAACCCTACGGACTAAGACTGGGGGTCATTCAAGACCATGTGTGTGGAAAGACAGGAGACCAATACTTGGGGCAATGTAATGTGTGAAATTATCTACATCCCATTACACACATTGCAGTCTGTCTAACAACCTGTAGCGCACCAACTCACCTTCCCCGTACTTGTCCGTGTGTTGGAAGGCTTGCACCAGTCGCCAGTGTTTCATCTACAGAGCGACCGACAGGCAGGTCATTAATGGTGATCTGACGCAGGATCCCCTTCTCGTCTATGATGAAGAGCCCCCTGCGGAGGACAAAGCACATGGTTACACATGCTCCTCAAATCACAAACTCATTATCAGTGCTGGGAAAACTACAGAGGTCTGGTTGCAGGACTACAACTCCCAGCATCCTGTGCTGCAGTGAGACTTGCCAAACTATCGCCCTGCACCAAGAATCATGGTGATAATACGAAACAGAAACGTGATGGCAGAAAGACCACATGGTCCATCAAGTCTGCCCATTTTTTTTTTTAGGGGGGGTGTAGGAGAAATTGTAAGGACTTTCTGGCCAATGGCAACCAACCAATTACCGGAATGAGATTCCTTCATCATTGAGGACACCGTAGTCTGTGGAGATTGTGCGACGCATGTCTGAGACCAGGGGGATCTTCATGGGGCCCAAACCTCCATCCTTCCTGGATTGGTTGGTCCTGCAAGAGAAGAACATTCCGTGAGCAAGGTTACGGTCCTGACCAATCACACGAGACTGGGAAATAACCCAAAATGTTTTTTTTCTCCTCTTCCCATCTCATCGGCAGACAAACCAAACTGGATACAGGAAATTCCACTTTGATCCATGCATGCGCGGGGCTGCCAGGAATTCTGTTGTGCGGAATTTTCCAGACACTTCCACTAAAACGCCGATCCTTAATCATTAAACTCAGACTTTGATCCCTCGGAATGCCGCAGGAATGTGTTTACCTGAAGGATCAGTCGAAGGGCCCGTGTGTGGTGCATCAGTGCACATGTGTTCATGCGTGTTATGTCACATGTGAGCTGCGTTAAGGCAGCCCACAGGAATCATGGGGCTTCCAGCACAACGAGTCGCAATGCACTCCATAGTCAGTTGGCTGAATTGGATGGACTGGTGATTGTTCATTCCTATGGTGCCTAGTGGGGAGCGGTGAACCCCAGAAAAAAACAGGTATCCAGTGCTGGGGGACAAGGTCACCCCAGGGAAAAAAAGATACCAAACTGCACCCCCCCCCCCCCCAATGATGTGGGGATCCTACGCCCAGAAATCACTGCCGTCATCACTAATCTGGGCAGCCTTGTATCAGTAGGAAGGCACCCCCATCCCTAAAGGTAACCATGCCGCCCCTCCTGCCCACCCCTTGTCCCAGCCATATCCTTTGACTTGCCGCCATGATAAACTTTTTACTGAACTTAAACATTTGTGGTTCTGTCATTCTATGCACTCCTGATTGCATCGGGGACCCTCTGGGACGTACAGGTTGACGGAAAGTGGCATCAGGTGTGGATTCTGATCCATTACTCAGATTATTGGGTCCAGCACTCCTCCCAACAGTTCTCTTAAGAACTGCACTGTATCTGAGCACCAAAAACATATCAGTGCCCTACTCACTCTTCGCCACTTCGACCACCACGTCCCCCCCTCTATATACCCATAAATGGGAAGTGGATCTAGGTAAGAAATTCGACCCGTCTGATTGGGACCACATTTGGGCCAACACAAAATAGTCTTCGCAGAATGTTGTAGCATTAGAAACGAATTATAAAGTTTTAACCCGCTGGTACTTGGTCCCAGCGAGAATCGCAAAAATTTACCCCTAAAAATTACTCGCCCAATTGTTTCAGAGGCTGTGCGGATCTGGTAACACATAACCATATATGGTGGGACTGTCCTGTAGCCCAAACCTTTTGGGATGAAATTTTCACCATGATATCTACATTTAGCACTATCACTATACAGCCCGACCCAACAACAGCCCTACTCAATCAATGCCCTCCTGGCATCTCCAACTCGCAATTCAAGCTCCTTATGCAAGTCACGACAGCGGCTTCTAAAACAGGTTATAGCGAAGTCTTGGAAATCCCCCACCCTAAGTGTCGCGGCCGTCAAAACCAGAATAACACAAGCCATGATACACGCAAAGGTGGAAGCCACAGTTCTTGACACAATCCCTAAATTCCTGTGCATATGGAGCCCTTGGGTAGAGCGCTTCCTCCTGTCCAACTTTGACGAATCACTCCTTCTCCCTTGAGTTCTGTACTGTACGCCAAGGATATGGTCAATAGCCCTTCGTGCGTAGCGCCTATTGTAAACTTGAATGTTCATCGAGTCATGGTTGTTGTCCTTCTTCCCCTTCCGCCCCTGTCTGACCCCCTCAAAACTTCCCCCTATTTCTTTAATGCACTTGGGAGACATTGCTATGCTTGGCTGACACCATATTGTGATCTGTTGTTGATTTTTATTTACCTGTTTCCGTTGGAAATGTATAGGCATTAATGCCTTGACCCTCATTTTATTATGTCCTACTGTCACTTTAATGCCTAGTATACATTAACGATGTCTCCTTGTTTGTGTCATTCCTGTTTATTGTTAATAAAATTGTGTTTGAACAAGAAAAACATATCAGTGCCCATCACTGCAGCCTCATTAGCACACATCAGTGAAGAAAAATCAATCACTTTACAAAATTTTATAACCAAGAAAAATTGCCCCACCACTGGCCAATAATCCAGATACATCGTTATTCAAATAATGGTCAAATGTATCTGGAATATTGGCCAGTGGTGGGGCACCTCAATTCTTATGGTGGAGAGATCGTCTACTGGTTTGTTATACATTTGGAAGAGTCACAGCCTGGAGGTGCGATCCAACATGGCCCCCCCCTCTACTTTGGCAAAGGGGGATCCATGGCCCCTCTATTCTGCAGAGTATAGAGGGGCCATGGATCCCCCTTTTGCCAGAGTAGAGAGGGGCCATGGATCCCCCTTTTGCCAGAGTAGAGAGGGGCCATGGATCCCCCTTTTGCCAGAGTAGAGAGGGGCCATGGATCCCCCTTTGCCAGGGGGATCCTTTGCAAAGGGGGATCCATGGCCCCTCTACTCTGCAAAGGAGAACCTCGTTTAGATACAAAGATCTCCCCAACATGTCAGAAATCATGCGGTACAAGGATACCAGTCCAACCAATGCAAGGAAGGAGCCCACATCCACACGGCTTGCCACCATTGGTCTGTGTATGCTCCAATTACAGAACGTTTCCATCACAAGTCCGCCATGATCTATCCAGATCCCAGCAGGACATACCAGGCCAAGTGGCAGAAATGAGAATCCACCGACGCTGCGATGACTTCTGTGTTGATCTTCTTGAATTCCTCCGCCCGGTCACTGAACGCGATGATCTCCGTAGGGCAGACAAATGTGAAATCCAGGGGATAGAAGAAGAACACCACGTACTTTCCTGCCGAGGAAAATAAACCCCAAATTGTTAAACTGAAGCAGTTTCAGGAAAAAAAAAAAAAAAAAAAATACGTTTTGATACAGTCAAGTCCCGTTCACACCTCTACCTGCAGTTTGTTACATCAGCGTGGTTCCAATATTCAATGGCATGCCAACATACTAAAAACACGGCAACTCTGACATGCATGAACACGGCCAGGGGCGGACTGACCATTTGGAAACCCAGGCACTGCCTGAGGGCCCGGGGTCAGTAGGGGGGCCCTATGAGATGCCCCTGGTACCTTTTTCATAGGCTTTTTTGAGTTTGGGCAAGGACACAGGGGCCCCATGATCCCCTATTGCCCGGGCCCCATGAGTTGTCAGTCTACCCCCTGGTTGCAACGCCAAATAATGCACACAATTACAATGCTCATCCATCTTTCGGGTGCACTTTGGCTCAATGACAGCCCAACCCAATAACTGAGCTTTATAGTGGACCTTCACACTTGACATATTCCCATCTACTGACACTGCCCCCCCCCCCCCCCCCCAATCAGAGATAGAATACCTTTTCAAGTGGGTCCCAGCCCTGAACTTCCTGGCTTCTCACCTAGGTGAGAATGATGCACCCCCCCCTTCCCGTTGCCTCCTGGAATACCCCCCCAGCACCCATCCAAGGAGGGATCGGGCCAATGTCCAGCACACAGCATGTACCAGGCAATGTCAGACACTGAGGGGGTCATTTACTAAAGCTGGAGAGTGGAAATCCGGCTCACTTCTGTGTAGAAACCAAATCCGCTTCTAACCGCAGCTTGTTCAATTACACTCTGGAAATATAACATGGAAGCGGATTGGTTCCTAGGCAGAAGAACATGGAAGCGGATTGGTTCCTAGGCAGAAGAACATGGAAGCGGATTGGTTCCTAGGCAGAAGTGAGCTGGATTTCCACTCGCCAGCTTTAGTAATTATGTAAGTGGAGCAGCAAGTCAGAGGTCCCAGTAAGCAAAAGGAAGAGAGACTCATCCCATCCTCTATACTGACATGTGGCTGGGAGACCCAGAAAAATCTAAAAAAGAGCAAAAGGCAAAGGAAGAAGGAAAAAAAAAAAAAAAGAAAGGCAAAAAGGCAAAGGAAGAAGAAAAAAAAAGGCAAAGGAAGAAGGAAAAAAAAAAAAAAAAGGCAAAAAGGGCAAAGGAAGAAGGAAAAAAAAAAAAAAGGCAAAAAGGCAAAGGAAGAAGGAAAAAAAAAAGGCAAAGGAAGAAGGAAAAAAAAAAAAGGCAAAGGAAGAAGGAAAAAAAAAAGGCAAAGGAAGAAGGAAAAAAAAAAAAGGCAAAGGAAGAAGGAAAAAAAAAAAGGCAAAGGAAGGAAAAAAAAAAAAAAGGCAAAAAGGCAAAAAGGCAAAGGAAGAAGGAAAAAAAAAAAAAAAAAAAGGCAAAAAAGGCAAAGGAAGAAGGAAAAAAAAAAAGGCAAAAAGAAAGGAAGAAGGAAACAAAAGGCAAAAAGAAAGGAAAAAAAGCAAAAAAAAAAAAAAAGCAAAAAGGAAAAAGGGAGTAAGGAAAAAAAAATATATATATAAAGAAAGAAAAGAAAAAAGGTTAACCAGGTGTCAGTGACGCAGTGGGTGACGGACATCAGATATTTCCATTTCATACGGAGCCCTCCTGCCCCGACCATCACACCCCACCTCTGTAGTCGGAGAGTTTAATCTCTTTGAACTGTCCATCCGGCATCACAGCCTGCGCGGTGAAGTCAGGAGCGAGCTTTCCGATTTGCGCATTTCCAGCAGACATGGTGCGTTCTTCTAGAAGAATTAGGAGGAAAAGATAAGAATCTGACTGATGCAGAAATTTGATTTTTATCTGATGTACAAAACATTCAGCCGGTCTTCAGTGACATTCAATGGTCTTCAAATGAACACAACATGGTAGGCAATTTAAAAAAAAAAAAATTTATAGCAATAAATATTAAATTATACACAAGACGACTTTTACATTTATTAATGAATATTTATTGTAATGAGGCGGGGGAAGGGGGAATCTTTGTGCATTTTTATTGGCTCCAATGCATCAATTCATACTGAACGGGTTTCCTTATTGCATGCAGTATGACAGACTCTGTTCTGCTTTTTTTTTTTGCACTTTCCAAAATTGTTTTTATTTTATTGACTGTTAAACTATGGAAAAACTAAGAAAAAAATAAATAGAAATACACAAATGGCGTGGTGGCCGATACTGCTCCTTCATTGTCCAATCAGCATGCTGGAGGTAATCTGTGGAGCCGCTACGGTAGACCTGGTAATGTGGCTCTGATTACAGGACTGGCCGAACAGAATGCATGCAGGGGTAAGTTTCCCCAAGCACAGGGTCTCTAAAGCAAGCGGGGGGGGGGGGGGGGGGGGGGGGGGAAGGGGGCACAGGCCACATTTCCCAGGCACAAGGTCTCTATGCAAAAGGGGGGCAGAGGGGGCATGTTTCCCAGGTACAGGGTCTCTATATAAAAAAAGGGGGGCTGTAATGTCCCTCCTGACCTGTTTAATCAGCCAGAACTGCACTCACTTGTATTCTCCCCCATTACAGTGACACCTCTGTTTAGTGACACCGCTGACTCAGGGACACGGCAGAGGTTTAGGCCAAAGTAGTAAAATATTGTGGATCAGAATTTAAAAAAAATAAAAACCCCACAACAGACACATGTATCCGAGCCGGTAGCAGTGCGGAGAATACCTAGCGCACCCCGGTCCGCTCTGGGGGGGGGGGGGGCAGAGATGCCAGACGTCACGCCTGGTACAGGTTCTGGAGACAAGTGCGTCTTCTCCTTCCTTGCTGTGCCAGTGCTCCGCCCCTAAGCAAGCGACCCAAGACGCCGCGCACAAAGATCGCATTGTTCCCGAGAAACCCCTTTCACCACTCGGCAAGTCTAAAATTAAAGCTGAAATCTGGGCAGAGCAGAAATAGAACGCGGCTGACAAAGCTGCAACACGACTAGAGGTCTTACTGTCAAACTCACAGAAAAAAAAAAAAAAAAACACCCAAAACCAAAAACAAACAAAAAAAAACCCCCCCAAAAAAACAAAAACCACCACACTTTAAAAGTTGCTGAAACTGCAGCATGGATGGTCCCAAATGGGACAGACCATCATTGCCTTGGAGGATCTGGGGGGGGTATGGGAGGATCTGGGGGGGGGTATGGGAGGCTCAGTCCAGTTTAAGGCGGAGTGGAGGACGCCTGTGGCGCCATCACTGGTCAGTATTCATACCGTCATCTTCCTATGTCCATGGGGGAGATTTACTAAAACCGCACGGTGCAAAATCTGGTGCATCTGTGCATGGGAGCCAATCAGCTTCCAGGATATATGTTCAAAGCTTCATTGAACGAGCTGACGGTAGAAGCCGATTGGCTCCCATCTACAGCTGCACCAGATTCTGAGCGCTCCAGTCTTAGTAAATCCCCCCCAATGTTTCATGAACAGGGGATATGGGTCGGTGCGCACCGATTGGTTCCTGTTCGAGAAGCAGCGTATGGAGATCTGTTCTTTCAGGGATTCCTATGAGGGACGCCATTGAGGTGAAGGAACACCGACTACTTCATGGCAGCCTTCAGAGAAGAAGCGATCTCCAGGTCCAGTCAGAGAAGACAAGGAAAGGCGTCTGAGGATAGGCTGCCGGTTATTGAAAAGGTAAACTCACATAAGTAGGCTAGAAACAGGCGCACCCCACGAGTCCACGTACCACCACCCCGCATAGCACCACATGAGTCCGTTGTACCACCACCCCGCGTACCACCACCAGCCTGCATACCACCACCACCCCGCGAGTCCATGTACGACCACCACCACCTCGCGTACCACCCCACGAGTCCATGTACCACCACCCTGCGTACCACCCCACGAGTCCGTGTACCACCACCACCACCCCCCCCACGAGTCCGTGTACCACCACCACCACCCCCCCACGAGTCCGTGTACCACCACCACCACCCCCCCACGAGTCCGTGTACCACTACCACCACTACACTACCCCCCCACGAGTCCGTGTACCACTACCACCACTACCCCCCCACGAGTCCGTGTACCACTACCACCACTACCCCCCCACGAGTCCGTGTACCACCACCACCACTACCCCCCCCCACGAGTCCGTGTACCACCACCACCACTACCCCCCCACGAGTCCGTGTACCACTACCACCACCCCCCCCACGAGTCCGTGTACCACTACCACCACTACCCCCCCACAAGTCCGTGTACCACCACCACCACCCCGCGAGTCCGTGTACCACTACCACCACCACCCCCCCACGAGTCCGTGTACCACTACCACCCTCCCACGAGTCCGTGTACCACTACCACCACCACCCCCCCACGAGTCCGTGTACCACCACCACCCTCTCACGAGTCCGTGTACCACCACCACCCCCCCCACGAGTCCGTGTACCACCACCACCCCCCCACGAGTCCGTGTACCACCACCACCCCCCCACGAGTCCGTGTACCACCACCACCCCCCCACGAGTCCGTGTACCACCACCACCCCCCCACGAGTCCGTGTACCCACCACCACCCCCCCACGAGTCCGTGTACCACCACCACCCCCCCACGAGTCCGTGTACCACCACCACCCCCCCACGAGTCCGTGTACCACCACCACCCCCCCACGAGTCCGTGTACCACCACCACCCCCCCACGAGTCCGTGTACCACCACCACCCCCCCACGAGTCCGTGTACCACCACCACCCCCCCACGAGTCCGCGTACCGGTGGCATGTCTTCTACTGCTGTTGTACGGCCGTTGCCCTTTCGGCTCCCTGGCCGGCTGGGTGGAGAAGGGGACCCAGAAGGAGGGCTGGAACACAGCTGAAGCGTACGCGGGATGATGTCACCAGAAAAGATGCAATGCGTTTCAGTGCATGCACGGAACTGACTTCTGTCAGGTGTGCTCCTTTCTCAAGCGTGCGCTTCGGCCCTTCATCCAGGTCCCCTTCTCCATCCAGGCCAGGGAGCAGAGAGGGCGGTGGCTATACAACACCGGCGGCAGAGGACACGCCACCAGAACACGCCACTACCCCCCCTCCCCCCCCCAACTCGTCTATGGCCTGTGTAAAGGAGCGCCGGTACTGCAAGGAAGCAAAGCATCTCACAGAACCCCATTTACTAAACAATCGCCCGAGGGTCACAATCAGCAATCACTGCGACAAGACTGATAACCGCCAAACATCGGCTGCAAGCCCATCTTCTGGATTGACGGGTTTTAAGATGAACGCATGGATTCACCCAGTCAATGTCATATTCACCGCTTTATAAATATGCCCCCCCCCCACCACCACAAGGGCAGATGGGAAATTTCTCCAACTCCCCCATTCTCCTGCGGTTTGCAGCAATAAGCTGCCTATATAGTATATGGTGTCTGGAGGGACTCACCATGGACTCACCATGGACTCACCATGGACTCACCATGGACTCACCATGGACTCACCATGGACTCACCATGGACTCACCATGGACTCACCATGGACTCACCATGGACTCACCATGGACTCACCATGGACTCACCATGGACTCACCATGGACTCACCAGAAATATTTTGTTTTTTTTGCTGTAAGAAGAAAATCTAATTTGTAAAATGTTGCAATTCAGCGCCAAGTCTTTTCTGCAGATGGTGCAGATCCTGCGACTCTTATCGCTGATTAACCTGAACCTGGAGCCCCTCCCGTCTCATTGACTTCTATATATCCCAACAGCCTCCCTGGATTCCAAAGGGCAGCAGCCCTGACAAGGCAAGTTCATAAATAGGAGGGAGGTTGAAGCATGGGGGGGGGGTCCAGATACAGAACATGGACCGCTCATCTACCATAGAGGAATGCCAGGACCTGCACAAGGAGAAGCCCAGACTTCACAGCTGTGGTCCCCCCCCCAATCCACATGACAATAAAATTTTAAAATACCCATTTTACCTGCATATGTTATTTTATATCCCGTGGTCATAACTGGGTCTCAGTTTCTCTAGGCAATGCACACAGATCATGGCTGGTGGGAGGGGGCCAGCAGGGGGATGTACATCGATTCCTAAAACATCCCAGCCCCCTGCCTCAGTACTCCTCCCAAGAGTCCTCAGTCCTGATACAAGCAGTGGGAGGAGTTATGCAAATATCAGAACACCCAAGTGGTATTAAAGACTTTTTTACAGTCATACTTCCCGGCTCTGTAATGTTTTTGCATGGAGCATCCCGGATCCTCCTAATTGGGTTCCCCACAGCACTCCTAGCCCCTCCCTCCTGAGTGCCCCCAGAGAAGCAGCTTAGTGTGGGGGGCACCCAAGCAGGCTCACTCCTGAGCTTCCTGGGAGTCCATTCATACACAGAGCCTTAGCTAGGTCCTGCCCCCTCTCTCCTCATTGGCCCACTTGCTGTGACTGACAGCAGTGAGAACCAATGGTGTCAGCCGATGAGGGAGAGTCCCCAGAGAGGTGAGGTTCCCACACATTGCTGGATTGTGACACTTTATACCTACATGCATGGAACGCACATTCAGCCTTTCCAACCACTTAAGGGCGGGCATCACTCTGCAGGGGTGGGTGTTCATAGGCAGGCCGCATCTGCATAGGTAACGCCCACATGATGCTCAGCTCTTCCAATCATTAAGGCTCAAGTCCAATTAATGAAAGGGGCGGTGCCAGGGAGATTCAGGTTGGGGAGGAAAGAGCTACATGATGGTGGATGTCCTCCAGCCAGGAAATGAGGCGGAGCTCTAGGTGACTTGCTGCAGCTTCTAATGCACACTGTGGAAGCCTTATCAGTCCGGGGGGGGGGGGAGCCGGCACACCTGGGCAAGACTGAAGGGGGGGGGGGGGGGAGCCGGCACACCTGGGCAAGACTGAAGGGGGGGGGGGAGCCGGCACACCTGGGCAAGACTGAAGGGGGGGGGGGGGAGCCGGCACACCTGGGCAAGACTGAAGGGGGGGGGGGGAGCCGGCACACCTGGGCAAGACTGAAGGGGGGGGGGGGGAGGGGGGAGGCCGGCACACCTGGGCAAGACTGAAGGGGGGGGGGGGGGGAGCCGGCACACCTGGGCAAGACTGAAGGGGGGGGGAGCCGGCACACCTGGGCAAGACTGAAGGGGGGGGGAGCCGGCACACCTGGGCAAGACTGAAGGGGGGGGGGGAGCCGGCACACCTGGGCAAGACTGAAGGGGGGGGGGAGCCGGCACACCTGGGCAAGACTGAAGGGGGGGGGGAGCCGGCACACCTGGGCAAGACTGAAGGGGGGGGGGAGCCGGCACACCTGGGCAAGACTGAAGGGGGGGGGGAGCCGGCACACCTGGGCAAGACTGAAGGGGGGGGGGAGCCGGCACACCTGGGCAAGACTGAAGGGGGGGGGGAGCCGGCACACCTGGGCAAGACTGAAGGGGGGGGGAGCCGGCACACCTGGGCAAGACTGAGGACAGAAGTAGCAGAGCCGGGAGGGGACTTCTATTCTGTACAATACAGAGGTGGCAATCTGGACTATAATGTGACTTAAATCCATCGGCCAGGAAAGCGGCATTTCCTGTCTGGAAGACATCTTCACTCACACTGGCAACCCCCCCCATCCGTGAGAAAAGTCAGAATTCGGCAATATTGTATCCAGGCAGACGCCAATGTCAAGACAAAGAACTACAATTCCAGTGTAATCCCATAATCCCCCCCCCCCCCCCCCACATCCCCGACTGAGAATGCGACATCCGAGCCGCTGTGCATTCAACACCAATTTCCGTCACTTTCCTCGAATGTCTAATCCCCAGAGCAGTGCGTCATGGCCGCGAGCACATACACCGCCCTGTGACTGGGGGAGGGGGCATTAGAGT